CCCCCCCCCCCGGTGTCTCCCACGGGGGCATGAGCAGCAAAGGCACCCAGAGCCGCTTGGGGCCTTTGTCTCCTGGACAAGTCGGGGTTCAGGGCTCAGCCTAAGCAGGCGGTAGATGTCCTGTGGAGGCAACCCCTGCCCTCCACCGTCAGTCACCTGAGAATGAGGAGAGGCCGAGATGTCCCGAGGCCCCGCCCACCATCAGGCCTTCATCCGAAGACGCCAACACCCTCCCAGGTCTGCATGCAGCGTGGGCTCAGGCAGTGCCCATGGGAGGCTGGGGAGGGAGCCGGGCAGGGCCCTGGGACAGACACACTGCCCAGCAGGGGACAGGGTCTGAATCGCACCTGTGATTTTCAAGGGCCCCAGGGCATCTGGGTGAGAGTCCGGCCAGCCCGGGGCCCTGGCTCTGCTCCTGCTCTGGGGTCCCCTGGCTGGAAGGCATTCAGCACTACCTCTCTTCCCACCGTGGTGGGACAGACTTGCCCTGCCAGGGCCCGAGGGGAGGACAGGGAGGAAATGCCAGAAGGTGGCTTCATGTCAGCAGAGATTTCCCAGGGCGGCTGGCCACCCCCCCTCCTGGAAGCCAGAATGTGCTACCCCTGGCCCCTTGCCCTGTCTGCCTGGCACCTCTGCATCCCCAGGCAGCAGGCAGGGACGAGCAGGGCACAGACGGGGGGGTGAAGAGAGGGGCAGAAGTGCAGTGTGTGTGGGGGGGTGACAAGAGGGGCCCAGGAACCAGGAGCCAGTGGGAAGGCAGGGTGGCATGGGTCAGACGGCAAGTCTGCTGAGTCGGGAGGACGCGGCTGGGCCTGCCCTCCAGATGCCCGGTTCGAGGGCTCCAGATGCATCGGGGCAGCAGGAAGCAGGGCCAGCCCTTGCTGTGTGAAGGGTCTGGTGCCCCGCCTGAGCAAGGGCAGGTGAGACGCCATCCTACTCACCCGCCCCGATGGAATGAAACAGGACACAAGAAGGGCGCCGAGTCCAGGCCTGGCTCCCAGGACTACATGAAGGAGCCTCTTGAAGGGGGATGGCCTAAGGGGACAGAACCCCCTTCCCACCCTATCCCCCCTAGGGACCTGGAGAGGCCGTGGGTAGTGGACACAGAGCAGGGACCCCTCCCACCACCAGGAGCCATCCTTCACAGGTTGTGGACAAAACTGGCTGAGGGACATCCGTCCAGACCCAGGTCTGGGCTCCAACCTGCAGGGCCAGGAGACCAGAGCCAGGTGGAGTGGAGGAGGGTGGGGCTGCCCGCTTGGTGGCTGGTCCCATCCCAGCCTCTTGCAGAGGTCATCTGCAGTGGCACAAATCCTGGCAGGTCTGACCCAGGGCACAGCTGCGGCTTCCTTCCCCAAGGCTCACATCCAAATTCAAGCTCCAGAGGTAAACACAGCCTCTAGACAAACATTCCAGAAGCCGCCTGCACGCCTGCCTTTGGGGGCTCCATCCCGGGGGACGGAGCAGAGAGATGGGAGCGCCCGGCTCTGCAAGGGGCAGGGAACTGGGCCACGTGGCCTGACAAGCAGTGCCAGCCACCCCACGGAAGCAGCTTTTAAAAGAAGAAACTCAAACGCTCAGCATCCCCAGATGCTTTGCTGGAATCCAAAGTCCCCAGCGGGGACTTTTTAATCTCCTGTCTTTTCTGATTGCAAAACACCATAAACAGTGTCAACAGAGCAAAAAGCACAAGATAACACCTCAGGTGATTCTCAGGGTGGAGGAGGAGCCCCCAACAGCATGAAAGGAGACTTTGGGCTGGGTCAAAGTCACAGCTCTGGCCCCTAGAGCAGGCTGAGGGGTGATCTGGGCCTCACTTGAGGGTGACCCACCCAAGCCCAGTGTGTGAGGATGATGGAACAGAGAGGCCCTGGGTAGATACCAAGCGTCCGCGTCCCGGGAGGCTCCAGACACAACAGGCTGTTTGGGCTGCCAGCTGCCAGTAGGTTTACTTCTGCACAAGTCACACACTCCCCCCGAGAGCTGGGCTGGAGGGTGGGGCACATCTAAGTCCCAAGGTGAAGGGAAGCTGAGGCCTGGAGCACAGGTCAAACAACGCCCCAAGTCAGGGGGGTGGCAAGCAACTCAGAGCTGAGCAGAACGAGCAGTCTCTCGTCCTGGCTCAAGCAGGCAGCCTTCAGGGCCCCAGTTTTCCCGCCTGCAAAACGGGGACAGGCTGCAGGCCTGTGTCTTCTTGGGGTCAGCATGGAAGCAGCAACAGCGAGTGGAGCTGCAGGGGGCCACAACCCAGTCTTGCCCTGGAAAGCAGAGCATCATCTGGGCTCCCCAGGGTCAACAGAGGAAAACAGGTGGTGGTCTGATGGGTTAGGACACCCAAGAATGACCTGGACAGAGAGGACAGAGTTAGGTGTGTGGGGGACATGGATTCTGGGGAGACACCAAACCAGAAGGTGACCAGCAGCAGCACCCGCGGGCAGAACGTCCTATTGAACTGTGCTGACTTAAAAAGCAGAAACTGAACTATTTAAAAAACCAGGAAGCCCACAAGAACAGACCAGATGCTGGAATCATCTAGAACAGTAAAAGCGAGACTCTTCCAGTGCAGACCAGAGTCTGAACCAAATTCTCCAAACCCTCGTCAACAAAACAGAATGCACAGGGCGGTGGGCGCTTAGATTTCTTCAGCCAGTCTGGCTTCATCTTCCAGCTTCTAGAAGACTCCAACTGTGCTTTCTGTTTTAAAATCATCTGCTTTCTGGAGAAGGAAGTATACACCCAGCCAGCCAGCTCCATCCCGCCCTGCGACGCTTGGGCATGGGGCTGAAATCTATTTCTGTGCTCCTCTCAGTTCCCCATCTTTCTCTGCCTTTTAAAAAATCCCCCTCGGAGTCTCTACAAGCATTCATTACTCAGATTCAAGCCACCCTGGCATCCAGGGACGAAAGCCATCCCTTTTATAAAGCATCTCCCTCCAGCTCCTCTGTGTCCACTCCATCCGTCCTCTGAATGCAAACTGGCAGGAGAAAATTCGGTCATACTTTGGCTCCATCCAGAAGGCAGGATCCCTCCTTCCTGGCTGCCTGGGGACACCCACCGGGGACACTACCATCTTTGGCTGAGTGACTGTGTGCGATAATCTGAGACATCTGGAGAGATATTACACATCTCCAAGCAATATGCTGGCATCGCACTCTCCACATGTGTTCCGATGGCTTTTTTTTCTGGCTGGGCTGAGAGGTTCTGTCTTCTGCTGGCTCTTGCTGGGCAGCTTCAGGTCTGGGCTACCTGCCACCACTGGCCCACCCAGCCCCTCCCCAGGGCCCCCTCAGCTCCCGAGGCCCCACGGCAGGGACCTGCCAGCCCACAGGCAGAAGGCCTCCAGGATGGTTCAGCCAGCGACGACAGAAGGCTTGGGAGCGGTGCTGGGGGAAGCTGCGATGTTTAGGCGAGGGCCACTTTGCATTCGGCTGCAGTTTCATTTTAATCTCCCGGGTATGTGACAGCGCTCTTAGCTGCTCACGGCGACGTTGTGCACACACATATCCAAGATGGCAGGGGCATTTCAGCTGTGAAGCCACCCAGTCTGTGTCCCAGGCCAGGCTCGGGGATTTCTGAGCAGCAGGAAGCTCTCGCTTCCCTTCAGACCGCAGTGTGAGATAGAAAGGAAGGAATACAGGTCACTTTTCCATTTGTCTGCCACAGCGGGCAGCCCCTGCTGACAAGTGGCGACCTTGGGTCTCCCTGGTGCACGGCCGGCTGCCTGCTCCCAGCCAGGCCATCGTGGGGTGCCAGCAGAGGCCGAGGTCGCCATTTGGAGTCCCCGGGGCTCCTCCATGCCTGGGCTGACCCATCAAGCAGCCTTCTCGCCAGAGCTTCCCTGGGTATCTCTGTGCCACTCAGCTGAGCTGCGGAACAGCCACTCCTCCGGGGCCCAGGCAGACAGAAAAGCTGCTCACCAACCAGCCCACGACAGCAGCGGCTTGGGGTGCCCGACCCCAGCGCCAGCAATCCCTGCGAACACGGTGACAAAAGCAGTCACGTGCTGTCTGCAGGGAGCTGGCATCCCCGTTTTACAGAAGAGGTGAACAGTACTAGCATGAGGCCAGGACCCCAGGAAGGGCACTGTGACGTGGGTGGGATGCGGCAGCCGCCCACCCCGAGGGCTTGCAGCCACGAAGCACAGCGGGGCGAGGGCCAGGCATCAGGCAGCAGCCCCGGCGGGGGAGGGAGTCACGCGCTCAGCACATGCTGCGTTGCGCTTTTTTGGTGACCAGTGTCTCATGATGTCTGGGAGCACCCAGGCCGTCTGGGCTGGTGCGTTTCAAACTGTGGGTCGTGACATCGACTGAGTAGGGTGCAGCCACAAAGCATAAACAAGACAGATGAACAGAAAACACGCGGGAAAGGCATGTGGGTCTGAGCAGGGCCTGTCCACACTTACGAGAACTGGGCTAGAATGGAAAGGCCCCTCCTAACTGGGAAGAGACACTGAGGGTCATGGCCAACTGGTCCGCACAGAAGGCTAACCTGGGCCCGGGCCCTCCTGAGAGTGGCCTGTGGCCCAAGGGCCTGTCCCTAAGACCATGATGTGCTCAGGATGGGGCTGGGGACAGTCACGCATCCCTCTGAGGAAACAGCCCGGTGGAAGGGTCTGGGCTGGGCCTGGCAGCAGGAAGCAGGCCCTGCGGGTGACATTCTCAAGCTCACTAATGCATCGGGCTCCGGCTGAAGTGAAGCTTGGGGTGCCCCTCTCCCAAGCCCCTCCGCCCCCAGGTACAGCCTTGCCACCTGTGGGGGCCGCAGTGCCAGGTGCCCGGCAGATCAGGTCAAACCACCAACAGGTGTGCCAGAATCATCCCATCGGGGCTGCAGGGCTCAGGAGAGGCTGCAGCGGCTGCTAAGGCCCTGGGGGTGGGCACCTGCAGGGCTGGCACGTCTGTGATGGGGAGACGGCCGCACCGAGGGCTCTGCGGCCACCCCGGCTTGGGGATGTGACGCTGGCAGTGAGAGGGGCAGCACCTGTGTCCATGTGCTGGCAGCAGTTCAGGGTGTCCTCGGGCGCCATCCTGGGATGAAATCCGTAGCCCTCAGCATTCTGGGCAGAGAGAATTTGGGCTTTGGTGACCCTGAAGTGTATCCACACCTCTACTGGTCAGCTGGGGCTTCAGGCCAGGAGACAGATGAGGCCCTAGGCCACGGCAGGGCCTGGCCAGTCGTCCTGAGACAATGCTGCCCTCTTCTGGCCAGTGCTGGAAGGACCAGCTCACGGCCCGCGGCTGCATCCAGCCTGCCGGCAGGCAACCCACTCCTGGGACATCCTTGGACCTGTGCTCTAGAAGGTTTTGAGAAGAGCCGCCGCAGAAGGTTCTGAAAGGGACCACTGCCCCTGTCCGCCTGCCTCCCTGCTCCTCTGCCATCTGCTCCAGAGGTGGGAAAGCTAGGCGGCGGCAGGTGAGACGTGCCCCAGCTGCTTTCGAAATCAGAGGGGAGGCGGGACATGCGCAAGGCTGGCCTCAGCCGGGGAGTCGGTGCAAGAATGGGCAGCTCTGGGTGCACTGCTTCCCGGGGGACTGAACGATGGCCGACGATGCTCCCTGGTGGCCCACGGGCAGCTTGCTGGCCTTCAGCGCCTCCGTGGGGCTCTGCGTGGGTTGTGAGAGGATGAGGCAGTGTACGAGGGCTTGGGAGACGACCGGATGCGGGGCTGACAAGTCCGGGCCACATCTGCGCTCACACCCACCTGTTCCGGGCTGAGTTTAGCAGGGAAGGGTCTTCTGGGGCCCTGCTTGGGAAAGGCCTCCGATGACCTTTGATGCCATCCGCTGTGTGGACACACTGAGAGCATCAGTGGGCGAGTGTGCTTGCTTTAGAAGGGAAAACGCAAAGCGAGGAAGGGCTTCTCCGGATCAGTGACTTGTTGCTGGGGTTCGAGGCGAAGCCCAGGGTCACGGCAGCAAAGGGCTCCAGGAACAGCAGCAGAGCCCCAAGAGGTCCTGTGGCTCAAGGCGAGCAGGAGGAGGGCCCAGGAGTCGGAAGCCACTCCAAGGTCCCGTTTCTCTCCCGGGGATCCGTGCAGAGCGGGTGGGGCGGGATCTGGCCCCAGAAGCAGGACGGAGCCCGAGGGGCCGCAGTCTGCAATGGCTGGGGGAGGCTCTCAGCTCTCGGCTGGCGAGCCTGACCCGAAGCAAGAATCGGAGTCCAATTTACAGGCCCCTGTGGGCGATGACCGCAGCCACGGTGGAGCTCCAGGGAAGCTTCTGGTGTTGCAAGGACAGAAGAGGGGAGAGGGCTCGGCTGAGCTCAAGCCCCACCTGGCACACACATCCCAGAGGACTACCCTGGGCTGAAAACAGACCAGGCAGGCTGTGCACTCCGAGAGCTGTCCGTGAGCAAACCAGGCTGCCCACGGCTCTCGCCCCTCTGGCCTGGGCTGTGGAGCCCACTGCTGCAAACTGGGCCTCGGGCCACAGCACGGGGAGGACGAAGCCCGGCCTGCCTGGCTCGCTGCTGCCGTCCACACCCACGGAGGGCCCGCACTGTGCCAGCCTCACGCGCGGCGCGCTGCACACGGGATCCCTAAATCCTCCCAGAGCTGGGTGCTACGTTATCCCCGGTGATGAATGGAAAAACCGGGGTTCCGAGGGGTGGCCGCTTTGCCGGGGAAGGGGCGCAGGGACTCGAACTGTGCGCAGTCTTGTCCAGGCTCTCCGTGTGTGTGTGTCGACGACGAGGGGTCGTGTCTGGGAGGGACGGAAGGGGCGGGGCTCTACCTCCCCAGTGTCGCCTGACTGGACCAGCTCTCACGCCCCCAACTACCGCACTGCTGAAGGGCAAACTGTCTCCAAGGCCCAGAACGCCCAGAGCCCCCCTTTGCAACAGGGGCTGGAGGACACACACTGTCTGGGAGGCACCCCGGTTCAGGGCCGATTCCGCACCAGGCACATATTCCAGTTTCATACCTTAGGATGAAGAAGCGTGGCTTTATGTTGGGATAACAGAGTGATTTATTATTTACCGAATGCAGTGGGCGCTCGGCAGATCAATTTCAATAAAACAATGGATTATAAACGCCGCCAGCAATCTGGCAGTAGCAGTAATCAACAAAACATGTTGTTCTAAATGCTGCATAATAAATTGACTATAATAAACTCATAATTATTCTACTGGCTACATTTCAAAGTTAGCACCAGAAAAATAAAATCACCAATTTGGGCTTGGCGTTAACAACCACGGGCTTCCTCAAATCACTCCTGTTCCTACAGCTGCAACAGGGATGCAGGTGCCGTGCTGCCTGGAGGGCTGAGACCACAACACCGGGGCGAGGCAGAGGCCTGATATCTGCAGCACCCTGGCCCGGCCCTGGCCCTGCTGGGGGCCACCCCAGGAATACAGCTGGGACTGACCTCTCACAGGGTGAGATGGGCAGACGCAGGGCAGGGGAGATGCGGCCGCTTCCTCTGGGGTGTGCTGACTCTGGCTGGGCGGCTCTGTTCTGGGACTAGGTTCCCGTGTCCTGAGCTCCTGGCCCGGCCAGAATGGGCCACAGGGCTAAAGAGCCTTAGGAAAGGTTTCAGGAGGTGAGAGTTCCCAAAGAGGTCAGGTGGGCTCTCTCTGGGGCCACTGGGGGGTCACCCTCTCTTGCCGGAGTCTCCAGCTGAGCCAAGTCTTAGTTTGCCAATCTCCCCAAATCCCTCTGGCGCCACACCTGGGCCTGGTACCCTCCCTGTGTCTCAGGTACCCTGTTTACACACAGGGGGAAGCACCTACCTCCCAGGATCAGGGTGACAAAACCCACATGGAAAGACCCAGAGGGGAGAATCCTGTCAAGGTCACTGCCTGCCTCTGACCCCCAGGCCTCTAGGAGGGTGGCTGAGATCTGCCCTGACCCTCCCAGCCCTGAGCACGGCAGGGCCCAGCCACAGCCTGAGCGAGCCTGCTACCCAGAGACTGGGCACCGGCCCACAATCTGTGGGGCCTCTGCAGCCGTGGGCGAACAAGTTCTGTGGAGTCAGTATGGTCAAGCTGGCAGATGGCTGCCGACACTCAGCTCCTTGTCAGCGGTGCTCCCACCCATCTCTGTGGCCACTTTGGGCGTCACCCTTCTGCATGATTGTAGCTCGACCCCGACCTGCTGGCCAGGCCCCTGGGGAGAGGACAGGCGGGCGGTGCGGCAGTGTTCCTCAAAATCCCCCTGCTGCTGCATGTGGACTTGAGATGCAGGTGCGATCCCCACTCACCGAGGAGTCAACTGAAACACTGGCGGGAGGGCGGAGCGCACCGGGGCGGCCCCCATGGAGGAAGCCAAGGAAGCCCAGTTGGGCACCGCTCTGGTCTGAGAGGATGCCACGATGCTGTCTGGAAATTGGGCTCTGCCAGAGGCTTGTTCAGGAGTATCCGCAATGGGTGAAAAAGCACCTAAGAATCCGGTGGTACAGGGTACCCCTACATGCCTGCTGACGGCCAGAGCAAAATGTCTGAAGGCCAAGACAGGACCTGCCTGGGTGGCTTGTGGCCAAGTCCAGAGCCTCAGCATCAGAGCGCCACTTAGTAGCCCTGCGCCACCCAGGCTGGCCCTGGCCGATGCCTGGATGGTGCAGAGCATAGGTGAGAACGCCGTGACAAAGTCGGGGGCCAGGTCTGCAGGTGCTCACAGACCCCTTACAGCCCTGAAGAAGTGACCAACAAGCTCTGCCTTACATGTGGGGCTGGGGTGGGAGGTGGGGGGGTCTGGAGTAAGTCCTTCAACAGGAGAAGAAGCTGCCAGAAGGTGGAGGCTGCAGGACCTGCCCACGCCTGCCCTGTTGAGGCCCCCAGGAGGAGCGGTGAGGAGAGCTACGCATGCTCAAGAAAGCCTTGCAAACAGCCCTGGGGCCAAGCACCACCTTGGATGGCTGAACAAATGGCCGCTTATGCCAAGGGGTCTTATGCCTGAGGCTGGCAAGTTTCAGAGAGTGGGAGGCTCCCTGGGGTCTTCCCTGCTCCAGAAGGGTCCCGCCCTCCAGGCACCGAGACAGAGATGTGAGTGTGCACCCCCCGGATGGAGAGGACAGCCTGGGCAGAGCTGGGGGAGTTCAGGTCCTCCTCAGAGAGCCCACCAGCCCATGGCCCATGGGAACCACAGGGAGACTCCACACCCTCTCTCACAGTGCTTTCTGTAGGATGCAGGCTTTTGGCCTTGGAGAGGCGCCGTGCGGGCTGGGGCCTTGGCAGATAATCCTGGGTCAAGAGCAGGCCTGGGGCCTTGCTGTGGTCAGCCCCCTTGACCTTGAGGTTGAGTCTAACTTCGGCCCAGCTGCTCACACACAAAGCCAGGGCTGGCAGCACTGGGTCAGCCTCACTTACCACATGTCTCCGTCCTGGACCGTTCGGTCGTTGGGGGCCCCAGCATGTCCGTAGTGCAGGACGGCCGAGTTCTCGCCGCTGCGAAGAGTTGGGGGAGGGTGGTCAAAGCTCATCCTCATCCAGCAGGCTGCAAGGGCTGGTACCCCAATCCCCTACCCCACAGGCAGCACCCTTCACCCTCTAGCGGAGGCCCAGGGGCAGCTGGACCAGGCCCACAGCTGGAGGGCGGGGCCGGGGAACGTGGTAGCCCGGGCACTCTGCAATCACACGGCTGGTGGCCAACTTCTTGGTCCATGGCAGCGCTGCCTGCAGGGTTTTCTGCCCAAGAATGCTGCTTAGACCGGTGTCCTCCGGGCGGGGATATGAGCACAGTGTAGCAGCACACATAAGAACAAATATGGGGTGTGGCGGTTTCTGGGCTTGGGACAGGGGCTCCCGCAAGTCCTCCTTTCCTGGTGACTGACCAGGACTGGAGAGACAGGAGGCCAGAGGCTCCTTGTGCCTCTGCTTGAGAGGGCTTCCCTAATGAGCGATGCCTTTAAGAAGAAGAGGACTTTTAAGTCTATCTGTAGGGGGAAAAAAAACCCCACCTGGGTGTAATATTTATGGCTGCATTCGGGAGTCTCAGGAATCATAAAAGCAGAAATAATGATTTTTCTCTCTACCCACCAGAGAAGCGCATTTCCAAGGACTAAGATGTTCACATGTATTATTCATGCGCCAAGGACGTGAACATCAGCAGAGCTGCCCGGCTCCCTCCTGGGGGCCAGACCCAGGAGCAGAGCCTAGGCAGGGTGGGGAGACTAGACGGGCGAGCCGGCAGACGAGGGGCTGCCCACAGCCAGGATGTGCTGAGCAGACGCAGCCGCCGTGACACACCAGCTGCGCACGCCCCAGAGAGCACAGAGATGCACACACACAGCCACCTGCTGCTCCTGCGCCCTGGGCATCTCCATCACCTGTGGGCCTCCAAGCACACCCAGCCACACGCAGACGACACACACGGAACCACACACACCCACACAGAGCACCCCACCCCCATAATGTGCCACGCGCACACACCCCAAAACTGACACACACACATACACACGGCCGTGCTGGGCTCTGCACAGCTCTATCGATAGCTCCACCCACACTCACACACGGACACACAACCGCTGTCCCCTGCACTGACACAGCCCTTTCCCTGTTCCACCCCTGCTCTATGCAGACGTGGACAGCCCGGTCCCCATGTGCTCCGTGTGCACCTGCAAGCGGGGTCCCAGGAGGAGCGGCCTTTCTGTGCTAACCAGCTAGGGACAGGAGGGAGGGGACAGGAGGCAGCTCCTCGGCGGGGACAGGTGCACTCCCTCCCTCACGCAGTGCCAGACCCCATGGCCAGAGGCGAGCTTGGCGACCCCGGCGACCTCGGCGACCTTGGCTCTTGGGGCCTTGGGAAGGAAGAGCGACTTCCCGGCCTGGGATGCCAGCACAGGCGTGGGTGTGGGAGTAAGCGAGAACATCTAGCTGGGGAAGGTGGAGCCCCCTCCTCACTAAGGCCCGCCCTCCTCCCGTGGATGTTCCCACATGCTGCTTAGGCCACTGGCCTCCGGCTGGGATGCAGGTGCAGTGTGGGCAGCCCACGTAAGAACAGAAATGGGGAGTGGAGGCTTCTGGGCTTGGGACAGGGGCCCCGCCCCCGCTTACCTGCCACAGATGCAGGTGTAGGAGCTGTGACGCATGCCGCCCCGGGAGTAGCAGTAGTGCTCGAAAAGGCTGCAGGGGGAGAGCCTTGTCAGGGCAGAGTCACCGAAACACGCCCGCACGACCCACCCACGAGCCCCACGCACCCACGTGAGAGTCGGCCAAGACAGTCGGAGCTCCTCCTGGGAGTCTGGGAGGCTTGTGGCCTGGACCTGGGGTTCACCAGAGGCCACAGAACCACAAAGGTCAGTGCGGAGTGAAGGGAGAAGCTAGGGACCCGGCAGGGCCCAGGCAGCTGCTGGAAGAGCCTGCCAGCCTCCACCACCAGGGTGCCAGCCACCTCCCAGCTCATCAGGACACACAGGCCTGCTGGAGCCCTGGTCCTGGAGGAAGCTGGGCTGGACAAGAGCTGTACATGCTTCTGCAGGGCTGGAGGAAGGGTCACCCTGTGACTGTGTCCAGGGGTCACCACTCACCCCACCAGGGGCTGGACGCATGGCTGGGGATGCAAGACCTCTTCTAACCCCAGTGCTGTCCTGTGCTCACCCAGGGAAGGGGGAACAGGAATGCTGGGCAGATGGGGGCGAGGGGCGAGTCCTCCTGCAGGTGGGGTGGGACAGGCAAGTCTCCAAGAGAGGGGACAAGTCCTGCATCTCCTTCCCTGGGACAAGTAGCACATGGCTGGGTCAGCGACACAGTATGGAAGGACAAGCCCCTGGCCTCTGGGCTAAGCCCAGAGCTAGGAACAGGGGGAGGCTTCCAGGAGAATGGGATGTCACCAAGAGGGTGACAATGACCCAGTGTTGGCAAAGGCCCAGCGGTAGGAACAAGCATGGCGTCTGTCGTCCATGGGGGCAGTGAGCTGTCTCCTCAATGCCAGCCCCTGGGGCAGATCTTAGAGACAGATACAGGGGCAGGTAGACAGAACCAGTCACGTTAACACCATGTCGGCGACATGTCATCAGTGCTGAGTCCTCAGATCATGCTTCCCAGAGCTCTGGAGTGGCTAGGACCCTGCCCCTCTCACATATGCCGCAGGACCTTGGGCCCACATCTTTGCGTGGGACTTTTAGCTCCGAGGGACCAAGCTGCTCTCCAGCATCTGCCCTGGTCTTCCAGGTAACCAAGTGCCCTGCCTCTGCAGAACCCAGCTGGTGAGGGACACCATGGTGGGGAGCTGCCTGCATCCCCTCCCTGAGGCCCAGGCGATGGTTCTCTCCCTCCACCCGGCTTGGTGCACCCACCACCAGGGCAGCCGTCCTCAGAACACCAAAAGCTGCCCCTGGGCCCACCAAGGGGTGGTCCTAGCCCCGCACGTCCTAGGCCTGCATTAGAGAATGTCTGCACAGAGGAGTTTAATCTTCCAGGCACTGTAAACACAAATTATGTATAATTGTTATGATTGGGCGTTAAGTAGTTGTTATGCAGGAACAGTTCTGCCACACTCAGTCGGCTTTCAGACCTGCCTTACAAACTTCACAGGATAATTGGCTATCTGCGAGTGAAGTATTTCCTCAACACAAAGGATTTCGGGAGCTGCCGGGGAGGCAAGGAAGTCACACGCTTCTCTCCTAGCCGCCCCCGTATTCCTGGTGGGAGCACTCGAGCAGCTGCCAGAGGCTTCTGCCTCAGCCCCAAGAGTCGCAGCTGGGAGCGCGGCCACAGCCCAGGCTTGCTCCTGGTGAGGCCTGCAAGGCCACGCCCCACCCGGCACACGGCAAGGCCACAGACAGGCAGCCTCAGATGCCGGCTCCACACGTCCCAGACCGCCCAATGAGAGGCCCAAGTCACGGAGCCTGAGGGTTCCCTCAGCTCGGGGAGATGTGGCCCTGCCCTGAGAGAGTCCCGGGGCCACATGGCCATTATTAAGGTGATAGGGCCAGTGAGCCTCCGTGGGGGCAGGTGACATGAGGACAACCACAGGCTGTACTGGGAGTGGCTGGCTTCAGAAAGGACAGGCAGAGGAGAGTGACAGCAGTACCGTCTGCGTGTGCGAATGAACAAGCATATTCTCTGAGAAAGGGAGGAAGCGGGTCTGGTTTCTCCACCGCATAATGCATTCAGTAGAGACAACTTTCCTTGTACGCCCTGGCTTCTGTTTACCAAAAAAAAAAAAAAAAAGGTAGCTAGGAGAAAAAGGCACATCTTACAGAGGCACCAAACTAAAAAAGGCTGGCCAAATTTTCACCTGCAAAACTGCGGCTTGTCACCTTTGCCAGTCACAGTGACAATTCCACACACAGTTCAGTGAGAGAGAGTAGAAAAGGTGAAGAGAAAAACCACACTCTGAAAACTTGCTCTAGCCTAAGAGAATCAGGAGCTCTTCACATTAGGCTTCTGGACCACATTCTGTTTTCATCATTTTCTCTGACGGGACTAGAGGACATGCTGGTACTACATAACAACAGCAGGTGGATGACATGAGGCCACGTTTTCTGTGGGCTTGGGCTGTGCATACCCAGATTCTGGGGCAAACGTGGTGGCTCGGGGTCCATAGACACACGTGAGTCCAACACATGTGAGGGCTGAGGAGCAGACACTCCGCACGAGCCACGTGTAGGCGTGGAGGCAACACGTGGCCCCGGCACAGCCACGAGAGCTCAGCAAGAAGAGCTGGTGACCAGCAGCAAGCGTGGGCCACGAGGACAGGCCCCTACCCCTCTGACCTCCACTGAGGCAGCAGCAGGTCACGTCATCCAAATTCCTCTGCGTGTTCCTGGAAACACAGCCCACTGTGAGCCCGCAGGGGCCCAGCCCACTCATCCCGAACTGGTCCACGTTGACGAAGCCACCCAAATCTGTGGCCACGCTTCGCTGGAGGCTGCCAGTTGGCTCCTCTGGAAACCACAGCACAGTCGATGCTGGCAGATGGTCGGCCATGAGCCTCTCCCCAGCACCCAGAGGTGCCATGTAAAACGTGACAAGCAGGGGCAGGTTCACGAACAAGGAGGAGAGGGAGGAGAGAAAGGGACCCAGAGCTGCCGGTCTTGCGAACCTTGAAGCCTGGACTCTAACTGCCATGTGGGGACAGTGACAGGCCTTGGGCCTATGAAAGGTTGGCGACTGCACCTGAGATCCCACCTGCACATAAAGCTGGGCCTGTGTAGGAATGCACCTGCAGCAAAAGGGTGGGCTTGGAAAGAATTCATCAACAACAGGGAGGCAACCGGGACTAGACTCACGGCACAAGTCGAAAGCATTCCCTCAGAATCCATAAGCACAGGCCCGTCTTCCATGAGTTTCAAGTTCAAATGCAAACGACCTGCATGGTGTGGAAACTCCTCTGCCAGGAAATTAACAAAGAACTTGGCCCCTGACTGTGATACCTGGAGCACCTGGCAGGAGCCCACAAAAAGCCAAATCATGGCCACACCCTCTGCCCAGGCCAGCCAGGACCTGCTAGTGTACACACACCCCCACGCGGGGGTTGAGAGCGGTACCTCTCTCCCACATACTACACACACACACCACACGAACCCCATGCCCATCACCTGACTGCACACACATACCCATGCCACATGACTCCACCCCCAGCCCCCCACACTGCATACACACACACATGAACGCCCCTCCCAGTCCCTACTGTATACACACACATACCACATGAACACCACTCCATCACATACACTACACACACACACACACAAACACACACACACACACACACACACCATGCACACCCCCCATACACACACCCAACATGAACTCAAAATCCAAATAACAAACACCGAGACAAAATAGTTCCCAAGAGTTGCCAGACACAACAAATAACAGGCTGAGAATCCCCCCAATTTCCGATAACATCATTGATCTGACAGCCACTTCAAACACATATACAATAACGAACACTTAAAAGGATAGTATAAAGAAAGAGCAGGCATATTTTATGAAGAACCGAATAAAACCTTTGGAAGTGAACAGGCTCTCTGTAAGGGGACAGCAGACAGCAAGGCAGGCAGCAGGGTTGCCGCCTCGTGACCATTCCCACCTGCTCCTGCAGCAAATCCGCAACTCACAGAGGCGGCATGTGTCTCTGCAGGAGGATGAGGATGGAGGACATCCCAGCTGGGCCCTGGCCCGGCACCCGTTTGCTCCCCTAGTGGCAGAGCGGGCTTCTGGTGAGCAGAGGACGGCCTGCGCCCAGCCAGCCAGCCTCCCCCGTCCCCGCTGTTCACGTTCCCCTGCATGGCCCTCCCTCTATCATCCTCGCCTATAAATTTCTCCCAAGCAAGGCTTGGGGAGGAGATACTTGTATCCAGGCATAAATGAGAACCCTTCAGCAACCTGGGAGAATCTGTGCCGTGAATAACGAGCGAGATGGAGTTACTGCAGTGTCGGGGGCGAGGCCGATTTGTCAGTGCCTGGCGATGGCTCGTAAGGCAGGAAGGGCCAATTCCCAGGCCCAGATCTGCAGGAATGGTGTCTCCAGGGACAACATCGCTGGGTGTCTCCCTGGGACCCACACATCCAGCCTGTGGAGTGCTCCGGGAACACCGCCCAGCTCCTGCCCTCAGAGGTTTGTCATCGAACATGAAGACAAGCCACGGTCCCATAAAAATGCACTCGTTGGCCAAGATAACGGCAGCGGGGCTGCCTCGACAGTGTTAGCCAAGAGATCAGCACAGGCTGTGAGACAGGCTGGATGGGGCCAGGGAGGTCGATGGAGGTGACGCCAGGGGCGGCATGGACCATATCATTCCCTTCACCAGGCTGGGCCTCGATGGGCCTTGGGTCCCCAGGAGGTGCCGAGGGCAGGCTGGGCCAGGAACGGGAGCATGGACAGAAGGTGGGCAGGGTGGTGGCACTCCCTCAGCTGAGCAGATGGTTTAGGAGAGAGGCTAGTCAGGGTCACAAAGCCGGGTGGGGCCAGAGGGCTCCCCACCCTGGTCCCTGGACTGCAGTCCTTGCTCTGGGCCCCATAACCCAGCCTCCTGGGACAACCCAACTCCAGGTGAAACCCTGGCTCTGCCCTTTGCCAGCTGTATGGCCTCTCCATGTCCCGGTTTCCTCATCTGTAAAATGAGAATGATCATGGTACCTCCCTCCCAGGGCTGCCATGCCAGTTCCAGAAT